GCGGACGGAGGGGGCCCCGAGCCCCGGCAGTCCACTCTGCTCCTGACTCAATGCTGTTTGCTCTCGCGAGGAACAAGTTGGTCAGGAAGCCGCACCGCAGCCATGGCTTTTAAAGATACTGGAGAAACACCTGTGGAGCCAGAGGTGGCCATTCACCCAATTAGAATTACTTTAACCAGCCGCAACATGAAGTCCCTGGAGAAAGTGTGTGCTGACTTAATCAGAGGTGCAAAGGAAAAGAATCTCAAGGTGAAAGGACCAGTTCGGATGCCAACCAAGACATTGAGAATCACTACAAGAAAAACACCTTGTGGTGAAGGTTCTAAGACTTGGGATCGTTTCCAGATGAGAATCCACAAGCGACTCATTGATTTGCACAGTCCTTCTGAGATTGTTAAACAGATTACTTCCATCAGTATTGAACCAGGAGTCGAGGTTGAAGTCACCATTGCAGATGCCTAAGTCAACTATTTTAATAAATTGATGATCATCTGAAAAAAAAAAATAACCTGCAGCCTTCCTATTTGGGTTAACGTCACCAAACATTGTGTTTCACTGCTGTATACCTTCCAGTCTTCTATGCTGATACTTGTAATGCATTTTAAGAAGAGAAAACATAAGCAGTGTTGTACTTTGGGAGAGAGAATACTTCAAACACAATATTTTATTTGTTTTTCTAGAGAGAGATTTTTGCTATAGGCCACATGAGCTTGTTGGAGAAACAGAAAGACAGAAAGCAAGAAGTCATCCTCCCCCCGCCCCCATGGGAATGACCATGCTGAAGTCCCTACTCCATTCTCTTCTCAGGATGTTAGGCATGCTCGTATACACATCTGCTGTGTTTAAGCCACCAGGTCCAGGACTCAAACCATGGTTGACTATGTGGGAGTCCAGCAACAAAACCATTATGCCATCTGCTGGTCCCACAATATTTTGTTTCTACATTTTCTGATTTTGTTTTTTTACCCACATCATGCACAAAACCTTGAAAATAACTAAGTTCACTTACTAAAAAATTACATCAATTACAAGGTAGAATTCTTTGAAATAATCTGTTATTGTTTTGACTTTATCCTGCCAGACAAATAAACTCTACAATCATTTACTCACAGATTAATACGGCTCATACCTCGTTGAAGTAAAAATGATTATTTTGTAATACCTCTTAGGACATTTTTAGGGTATTAATTATTCTAGAATAGTGTGTTCATAACTGTCTGTTAGCTTGTGCACGAGCTGAAAGAATTCTTTTCTCATTTAAAAATATTCTATGCAGGAACAAAGCTAATTTCTAATGGGATGGTGTCATCACCAGTAAGCTGCTAGCATGAAGAGGTGTCTGCTGTTTTTGAGGAAAAATGCCATAGTCAATTGGTAGAAGTATACACAGCTGTGTTTGGGTTCATCAAACATCTCACAATAAACATCAGAGGTTTGCTAAATTTCCAAATGTGTTTTGCCACATGCATTTCCTCTTCTTTTTAATGCATGGAGAGAGTTTCAAAAGTTGCCATTTCATCTGTTTATCAAAATAGAAGCATAAATAGGCTGTGCTGTCAATAAATTATGTTGAATGGGTTTATGGCTTGTTTTTCTCTCTTCCATATAACAAGATATCTCAGAAGTAAACAATCTGAAGCCAGAGGACTCGGCACCATTGCCAGGATTTTCATATATCCTGGAGTGTGTTCCAGGGTAAATGCTGCTAAATGTTGGCACCTTTGCTTGGGCACCAGCTCAAGTCGGTCTCTAGCTATATCATGTGGCTCCAGATTTTTTCTGTTTAGATTAGTTAACATACTTTTTGGAACCAGAATTTCCACAGAGAAAATAAATTATTTCTTTAAGTCTATCTTCTAAAACATTAAATTGAACTATTATGGATCAAAGATACAATATTTTACCTTATCTTACTAAAGAGTCAATTGTAATTGGTCCCACTTAAACTCGAGGTGTGTGTGAATTTAGATATGTTGCTAATTCTCTGATTATGCTCTTTCATCATTCCTCTAATTTACTTTTAACCCTTGGCTAAAGTCTAATATTCTACTAATTATTTCAATGTTTCCTTTGTTGCTGAATTTGCTTCAATTTAAATGTCTGACTAGATTATGAAAACCATTACTATGAGTGGTCTAGCTTTTTAAGTTAGGCACATGTGGATTTAAACTCTACATGTTTTCTTACCTCTTGTATACCTAGTTGCTCATTTTACAAAAGAGATTACAGGGCCAGCCTGTAGAATGGAGTTTGGTGTGACTGGATTCCACATGGCTGACTGCATGGGTTCAAGTCCTCAATCCAACAGTTGGAGAGATGTGCTAGGCCCCTGTGCTTGTATACCCAGGATCCCCAGGGGAAGGAGAGATAGATGAGATAGGGTTGGGTGTGGCCAGTCCCCGTGGGGGAGTCTTTCTCACTTTTTCTCTCTCTTTCTCTGTGTGTCTTTAGCAAGCACACAGGCCCTCTAGAAAATTTTAAATAAATAAAATAAGAAGGGAATACAAATAGCTATCCTTCAGCAAATACAAAGTACTTACAAATTAATATCAAAAAACATGGAAATGAAAAAAAATTACACAAGTGGGACCAGCAGATGGCAAAATGGTTACATTGCTGGACTCCCACATAGTTGACCCTGATTCAGTCCCTGAACTAAGGGTGGGGTTAACTCATGCCAGATGCATGTGTGTGCATGCCCAATATCTCGAGAGGAGGGTGGAGGAGAAGGGATTGCAGCATGGCCATACCCCCGGGGAGGTGATTTCTTGCTTTCTATCTCTTTGTCTCTCTGTTTTTCCAGCGAGTGCATGTGCCCTACAACAAAATCTCTCTTAAAAAAAAAAAAAAATTATGCAAATGTAAAAACTCCTAAATATAATTAATAGTATGTATCTGGGAAGAAAATTTTAATAAAGAAAATGTATCTGGTATTTTTAATTTTCTGAGGTTAGTACAATTTTAATACAAATTATACAAAAAATGGAGGAATTAAAATATTATTTTAAAGTTAATTTACAGAGTGCTTTAAATTTAATAAACAAGTTTGAAAAGTAGGAATGTTTAGTCTTACAGCTTTTCCTTGGACTCCAGAGAAACAATGTTGAAAACTGTTTATTGGGGCCAGAAGGTGATGTAGTGGTTAAGGTGCTGGACTCGCATAAGCAGACCGTGGTTCAAGTTTCAGGTCTGGCTGCTTGAAACTCACTCCTGTTGTATGTGTACGTGCATGCTCTCAGGAAAAGAAAAGAAAAGCTAATGTCTCTCTGATACTTTACATTTATATCTAGATGATTCTATTAAACTTTAGAGGTGTAGTTATTTAATTTCTGACATGTTGTAAATGTTGGCATTTTACATGAAATTGTGAAATCACTATAAAATAGTCAAAAAAGTCATTTCTATAGATATTTGAACACCATTATCACCACTGAAAAAAATGTTTTAAATGTTGGATTCCTTTATATATAATGTATTTTCTTCTCTATGATCTTTCACTTCGACAAACATTTTTTTGATATAATTCATTATCATATTTGAAAGTTTTTGTTTATCAGCTAATATACTGCTTAGTAACAAGACATAAACATTGATACACATATCTGTATATGTTTATGATTTATATGCATGTATAATGTATGTTCTCAATAGGTAGTTATAATATTTTACTTAGTATATGTAGTTATATGTTAATATGTAATTTCCATTACTCATTAGGTCCTAAATTCTCATTTTTTTTCATTTAGTGAACATTTGATTAAAGATTACACATTTTGAAAAAATTAAATTAAAAAAAAGATTTTATTTAAAATGGCTCTTTAAATAATGTATTCTTAGATAAATGTTACTTTATTCTAGACTGAGACAACAAGCTTTAACATGAATTTGATTTTCTTTTTTTTTTTTTTTTGAGAGGTTTTCACTATAGGGCACGTGCCCTCGCCAGACAGACAGAGAGAGACATAGAGACAGAAAGTGAGAAATCACCCCCCACGGGGGATGGTCACGCCGCAATCCCTTCTCCTCCATTCTCCTCTCGGGATCCTGGGCACACACGCACACACACCCAGCATGAGTTTTAAGTCACAGGTCCGGGACTCAAACTGCGGTCGACTACATGGGAATCCAGTGACATAGCCATTACGCTAACTACTGGTTCCAAGATCTAGTATTTTTTAAAAATGTATTTAGGCATTGATAGTTATAAAATTGAATCTTTGAAGCCATACCATGATTAAATCTCCTTGGAATAAAATAATTTAAAAAGCACAAGTACCAAAAGTCAGCGGGAAGCACT